TGGGATCCCATTTTTGGTTGGTAGGTGAATTCACCACCCATTTTAGGACCTATTTTCGGGGGGATTGGGATGTTCACTGGGTACGGGATTTTGACCCATGGCCACATATACCCACGGTTTTCACTCGAAGAGTGACAGAGACAGACACACAGACACAGAGATGCACACGCAGCACGTACGCATAGACATAGAGGCACGCTCACGCAAACACATAGACAGACACACAGACACACACACACACACATGTGAAAACACAGACACACGACCGCCCAACCACACAGCCACACGACCACACAACTATACAAACGTGTGTACACAGCCAAACTCAATCACCAGGGCACAGGCACACAATCACACAAGCACATAGGCACGCAAGCAGAAAAGCACACGAGCGCGCGCACACGTGTGACGCGCATGCCCACGCTCATGTGCACGTGCACGCGAACATCCACGCACATGCGCACGCACGCACATACGCGCACGAACACGCACACCCACACCCACACCCACACCGACAAGCACACACCTTCACACGTGCATACACATACATAATACACAAAGACAAGCTCACACACACACACACCCACACCCACACCCGAACACGCACCCGCACGCGCACGCGCACGCGCACGCGCACGCGCACGCGCACGCGCCCACGCGCACGCGCACGCACCCGCACCCGCGCACGCACACGCACAGACACACGCACAGACACGCGCACACAGACACACACACACACACAGACACACACACACAGACACACACAGACACACACACACAGACACACACACACAGACACACACACAGACACAGACACACACACACACAGAGACACACACACAGACACACACACACACACACACGCAGGCACACACACAGACACACACACACACACAGACACACAAAGACACACACAGACACACACACACACAGAGACAACACACCACACACACACACACGCGCACGCACGCACGCACACACACACACACACACACGGATGCACCCGCGCGCGCACCCGCACAGGCGCACGCGCATGCACATGCACACGCGCGCGCACGCGCACGTACACGCACACGCGCACGCACATGCAAATGCACATGCACACGCGCACACACTAATTTATTCACACTACGCACAAGTCATTGTACACAAACAGTATACAGTATACATATGTTTCCATCACTCACACACATATATATATATGACATACATAAGTGTATTAACTTATTTATATGTATATATCACACACACACACACCCACGCCCACACCAACACCCACACCCACACCCCCCCCACCCCCCCCACCTACGCACGTACGCACGCACGCACGCACGCACACACACACACACACACACACGCACGCATGCACATAGCGCACACATAACAAACACACACATAGATACAAACACGCACGCACACACACACACACACACCCAACTACCCACCCACGCACGCACGCACGCACGCACGCACGCACACACGCACGCACGCACATGCACACACAGCAAGCGCACAGACAGCAAACACACACACACACAGCAAACACACACAGCAAACACACACACAGCAAACACACACACACACATACACACAGCAAACACAGCAAATACACAGAAAACACACACACACACACAGCAAACACACACACACACACACCGCAAACACAGACACACACACACACGCACACACACACACACCCACGCACCCACACACGCACACACACACACAGACACACACTCACACACGCACACACACACACCACACACCCACACCCACACACCCACACACACGCACACCCACACACCCACGCACACACGCACACACACGCACACACACACACACACACACACACGCACACGCCCGCACGCACAGGCATGCGCACGCACGCGCGCACGCGCACACGCACACGCACACGCGCACGCACACGCACGCGCACGCACGCACGCACGCCCGCGCGCACGCACGCGCGCACACGCACGTACTGCAAACACACACACACACGCGCACACACACACATGCGTACTGCAAACACACACACACACAGACACACAGACACACAGACACACACACACACGCACGCACACACACAAACACAAACACAAACACAAACACAAACACAAACACAACCACAAACACACAACCACAAACACAATCGCAAACACAAACACAAACACAACCACAAACGCAAACACACACGCAAACACAAACACAAACACAAACACAAACACAAACACAAACACAAACACAAACACAAACACAAACACAAACACAAACACAAACACAAACACACACACAAACACAAACACAAACACAAACACAAACACAAAACATAAACATAAACATGCATAAACATAAACATAAACATAAATAAATATAACACAAAACACAAAATATTAACACAAACACAAGCACAAGCACAAGCACAAGACAAGCACAAGACAAGAGCCACATAATGGCACAAGGCAGGCAAGCAGAGCACCAGCACAAGCACAGCACAAGCATGCGCACAGCATGCGTAAAGCATGCAAGCACAAGCATAAAGCATGCAAGCATGCTGCAAGCATGGGCAAAGCACAAGCACACACGCAAACACACAAAAACATAAACACACAAACACGCGCGCACGTAAGCCTAAACATACACACACACATACACACACACACACACGCACGCACGCATACGCACGCACGCACACGCATACGCATACGCATACGCACACGTATACGCACACGCACACGCACAGCACACGCACACGCTGCACGCGTACGCATACGCACACACACACACGCACACGCACACGCGCACACGCGCATACGCGCACGCGCACGCGCACGATAGCGATACGCGCACGATAACGCGCACGCGCACCAGCACATAGATAGCACACAAATACACACACAACACATACACACAAACACACACACAACATACACACAAACCACATAAACACACACAAACACACACCACATATACAAAACAACACCACACAAACACACACAAACACACACAAAAACACACAACAACACACAACAATACATACACCACACACATACACACATACATACACACACGCGCACGCACCACGCACACGCACACGCGCATTCACGCACACGCCCACGCACACGCACACGCACACGCGCAAGACGCCAAGATCGCACAAAGACGCCAAGACGCCGCGACGCCGCACGCACACGCCAAGACGTCAAGACGCGCATCGCCAAGACGCCAAAGACGCGCACGCGCACGCCGCATCGGCACGCGCACGCGCAACGCGCACGCGCAGACGCTGCACGCGCACGCGCATACGCGACGCGCACAAGCACGCGCCTACGCGCAGACGCCGCACGCGCACGCGCACGCGCACGCGCACGCTCAGCGCGACGCGCACGCGCACGCGCACGCGCACGCGCACGCGCACGCACACGCGCACGCACACGCACACGCACACGCACAGCACACGCACACGCACACGCACACGCACACGCACACGCACACGCACACGCACACGCACACGCACACACACACACACACGTACTGCAAACACACACACACACACACACACACGCGCACGCAAGCCAAACACATACACACACACACACACACACACACACGCACACGGGGGGGGAACTTAGTTTTTTTTGGCTTGAGTCCAGAAAGCAAGAGAGAGAGAGAGAGAGAGAACGAGTGAGAGACAGAGACAGCTAAAGAGAGAGTAGAGAAGCAAGAAAGAGAGAGGAGGACCGCACATTAGCCGATGTTTGGCTGTCTGGTGTTTTACCAATCCATGGATTTGACTTGTCGTGCTCTTTATTGTCCACAAAGCAGGCATCCTTTGAGGATGTTCTGACTTTCGCTTCCATTCTGCTTGCTTGGGGTCTTGGTAGCGTTTTCGTCAGGCTGTTTCTACTCCTTGTGGCGCTGGATACCTTGGTCTTCTGGTTCTTGGAGTGGTGGCAGCCGCGCGCGGAGGTCAGGGCACTGATAACATCATGCTGCTTCTCCAAGAGAGTCTCCAACTTTTGGACACGTCATCATGAGAAAGATAACTGACTGGTTTGTGGGTGAACGGAAGAAACTTCGTGAACGAGGGCTAAAGGGCCCTCGCACGAGCAGGGACTTTGCGGGCCAGGAGGGGCTTCGAGGAAGGTCGAGCCCGTGTAAGAGAATCTTTCAGGCGAGGTAGAAACACCCCTCCTCCAGCCAGAATACCACAGGCCGGCCGCGCTTCACTTTTTACCATGCCCCACTTTGTTTTGTGGGGACTTGGAGATTCCATCCATATATCATATGAAGGAATTTCCCGCATTCCACGTCATCCAGCGGATCGAATTCTACCGGTGGAGTGGCCAAACGAGTTGCCCGCCCACCGCCAGGTGGAGACCGCTTGGGATGTGCCGGCCTTCCCAAGGCACGCGCCGGTTGCCGGCAAGGGAGGCTGAAATGCCGAAGGTCGCCGGCTGTGGCATTGGCTTCCTTTCGCCGTTTCGTCTATTTTGGTGCCCTTTGGAGGAATGGTAGCTGCAACTTGGACTCGTGGGTTTGGCAATCGTGCGGCTTTTTCAAGATTCAAGCCCAAGCCACCTTAAACCAGAACCCGCCCGGAGACAATTTAAAAAAGCACAAGCAGTCAACCCTTCCAGACCCCGGCACCACTGGGCTCCAAACCAGCAGACGTGTGCCAAAATGAGGGCATTTCCACAGAACAACAAGGTCTGACCAAACCAAAGCATCAAAACAATGGGAGGCATGTTGTTGAGTGCCTTTGCGCGCAGGAGTGAAGATGAAGACCAAGCACCGGACCAAAAAGCATTGCGCCGCTATCAGCTGCCCTTTTCTTCCGTTTGCAGTGGAGACAAGCTTGACACAAGCTGGATTGCCAGACACGCATCGTGAACGGTCGGCTCATTTGATGGCACTCGTTCGTTCCTTGTCTTCCTCGCTGGCTTTTGCACGTCTGCTCCACCCGGGAGGTTTTCTCCGCTTGCCTGCGAGCCTGGCAGGTTCCGGCGCTCCTACTGGCGTGTGGTGCGGATGCGCCTGGATTTGCACATGGAGATCTTCCCGCAGGCGCGCGGAGGGCCATCCGTTTTCTTTTTTCCCCCCTTCCGGTTTTGTTTCAAGGCTGGGCTTCCCGCTCGTTCCTGGTTTTGCATGCTGGTTTCGCTCCTGTTTGTTCAAGCTGGCTGCGTTGCTAGAAGGACCTGGCCCGGGTCAAGAAACCGGCATGCTTTTGTTCGGCCACGCACTCGGCTGAGCCGAGCAGGCAATGTGGGCCGTGTCGGGACTGGCCAGGATGTGGCAGCGGCGTTTGCGGATGAGGAGACCATTTGGGCCTACGCCATCCCTGATCGACAGTGGATCGCCATGCCTGACAGGCGGGGCTCAAGGCTTCGTACTAGGACTTGGTCTGTGGGAGAGTTGCTTGAGATGATTTGATTGCAGTACGCTCGGATACCATCACTTTTTGGCTTCCCCCCAGCTCAGTGGGAGTTCTTATGATGGCATAACGGCATGGCACACGAGCTCTGTTCTCCGTGAGCTCTGCAGCACAAGTGGGTTCCGGTGCTCGCGAGGTTTGCACTGGGCCCACAGCAATTGATGCTGGACGTCTACTTCACCACATACACCTGGAGACTCAGCTGAAACGCGGCATCCGCGATTCTTTGCAATCCATGTTGTCCCACGCTCCAAAAGATCCCTAGTGGAGTTTGCAGGGGTGGCCATCAAGGCGATCTACACTGTGGACCATGACTATCCTCCACATGGCACGCTTGATTTGGGATGCAACGGCGTAAGAAAGGGATGTGACGGGCTCAAATTCAAATCGCAGTGTCTTGCTCGAGACTATTGCATGTATTATATATATATATATATTATATTGTGGGCTGGTTGGGTGTCACTTTCTCCGAATTGGGGTGGTTGGTGGGAGATTGGCGAGTGTTGTGAGGGTCTTCGCAACGTAATGCTGAAAGGATCGCCCCCTTTGGCCAACTTTGCTTGGGTGTTCACCGTTTTTTTTTCTTTCTTCTTTTCTTTTTTCTCCCGGACGTGCACGACCCCAGCAACTTTCACGGCTTGGACCCAGAGGGGTCCGGTCTTACCTGCATTTCCAGAACCTCAGGTCCGGCCTCAGTGGAACAACGGTCCCAACATGTTAGTTCAGAGGTGCCCCTTTTTGTAGGTTTCCCGGTCAATCCAAAAAGAGATCTTTGCGCCACCAGCCCCGCTCGGTGAGGATGTTGGCCCGTGAGAGCTGGCAGCACTACGATCCTTTTTTCCGCCCCGCCGCTCGCCGGATTAAGCAGAGATTGGGCGGCATGTTCCGTCGGGGCGTAGCCCCAAGTGAAGATAGACATGTTGTGCACAATCAAGGTTCTATTGACAAAACCCCAGCTCGTTCTCCCCGAAGCCAATCTACTTTGAGGGCGGCGTTTTCGAGTTGTCGGCGGACATTTCGCAGTCCCGCCGAGAATCCAGCTCGACAGCTGGTACAAGTACTCTTGCTTGCCGCAAGCAAGCGGTGGCCAGCGCCACCTTCTGGCTGTTTCTCAAGGTTCGGGACCTTTTTCAAACCGCTTTCGCAAGGGCCACTGGGTTTCCCACTCTCAAGGCCCACCGTTTTGTTCTTTTTGCCCTTTCAACTTTTGCGGAGATCCCAGCCTCGCGGCCATCACGAGAGAGGCTTGCCAACGGCGGGGCCACCTGCTGGTGGTCGGTGGCCGCGTGGAGGCGCTGGCGAAGACTTGGCCCTGCCCGGAGCACTCGGCCAGGGGCCTGGCCTACCCAGGACCCGACGACCCGACCCAGGCATGACGAAGGGCGGCGTGTGCAGGGACGCACAACATTTGGTCCCGTGATTTTTTTTTTTCGAGTCTTCACACGGCTTAGATGTGGCTCTCTGAAAAGTATTTCGCATTCCCTTTCTCATTCCCATATTCATGCTCTCTGGCCCTAAGCTTGACATGTCGTTGATTTCCGGAGAGTGTCTCTGACTGCAAAAGCTGAGCCGAAGGCTGGCTTCAAACGTCTGGTGTCGAACTTTTGTCCCTTTGAAAAAACGTCGTGGAGGATTCCCATCTTTGCTTTGAGAGTGCGCAGCGCATCAGGGACGGGGCTGATTCAATGACATTTGGGGGGGGGGGGAGCTGATTGCAAAACTGCTTTGTGGCCTGATTACGTAGATCACCGGATCCATGGCGGCTGTTTGAACCACGGGGCGTGGCCAGCAACAAAATCTAGGACCGGAGAACGTGCTCGAGGCACGACTGCTTACCTATGAGGCGGGAACAGCGGGTTGGGATGGCCAGGAGTCACTGAGAAGCCAATGGGGTCGCCTGGAAAATGGGATCGATCGACTCAACGGCGCAGTTTTTTTGGTGCGGGGTCAGCGCTCCAGGTACCAGGTGGTCATGGAGTCGCCTTCCGCCTGCGGCGGGACATTTGCTTCAGCCAGGGCGACAACTTCTGCGAGAGGGTGCCAATACGGCACCGCCATGGCTACTGGATGAATGGCCGGAGCGAGAACTGGACGCGCTTCGTCAGCCGCCAGGCGAGTTGTTGCGCTCCCGTCCCGTCCCCGCTTAAAACCGGCAGAGGGGTGGCACCCACACCCATCTCTCTCGCTTCAAGCAGGTCTCCCGTTGACACGGTTCTTTCTCCTTCGCTTCCAGTGACTGCACGGCTGTGGCTCAAAAAAAACGGTACTAAAATGGAACCCTGTGGAAACATGGACCAAATCCTGCGGTTTGCCCCTCCGATCGTTTCGTTTAATTTTGAGCCACGCCTGGCATTTCTTCGAAGGCGGCCGTGCCTGGCAGCGAGAAGTTGGAGACCAGCGCCGCGGCCAAGTCGAGCCGATGCGGTCGGACGTGAAGCTTTGCGACTTTCGTTGGCCCCAAGTCGAGCCAAGCAAAGGCCTTGCATCGCCCACCAAGACCAGTTTGGCGGACAGAAGTCAAGCCATCGGAGTCTCACCTCGAGACGCCTCAGCGGGGCGACCGACCGAGGGCTGCTGGGCTATGATGCCACCTTCGCCGCGCGCCTGGCGGAGTTCCTCTTCGAGCAGTGGGCTGAGGTCTGGGGTGGGGCCGTTTTCTGAGCCGCCCTCCTTGCCATTTTGGGGCATCCCACATTGGAAGTGGCGCCCTCTTGGAGCTGACGCATGAGCAGGTTGTGTGCTGTTTGTGGGCAGGTGGCGAAGGGGCTCTTTACCCGAATTCTTTCGCGTTGCCACTGGTCATTTGCAAAGTTGAAATCTGTGTGAGCCACAAAGTCCATATGACGCATGGAATTTAGGCGATTCGAACAATCCAAGAAATCTGGACAGTCAGAGCAATCTAGGCAATCCAACCTCCCAATGCACCCACCCATTGCAATTGTACTGGAAAGCCATTTTTCCTAGTCTATCTAAGCCGCTCCTAGAACAATTCAAAATTCCCGCCAAAGAAAGCCATTAACCATGGCTTCCATGCTCAAAAGACAATATAGGTAGCTTGAGGGGTCCTCTCCAAACTGACCAGCAAATGCGTGGCTTCCTGTTTTCCCTTTGGCACGCATTTTTCAAGCCTTTCTTCTGGTTGGTGTTGATAGTCTCATGGCATTTCGTTAGGTCTATTCAACTCTTTTACTAAGGATGGGGAATGGTCTCAACCTAAGCCTTGTTCAGGGCTGCCTCTCTCTAACATGTAATATTTATCTCACCGCCCGGAAACAACCCGCACTCGAGGGTGTGAGTCTAACCAAGGCCGGCTTTTTTGGGGCAAACAGGGCGGTCTTTTTTTCCGGGCACCCCCTCTTGTGGTTCTTTCCAGGAAAGTCACCGTTTGGTGTAGTTTTAAAAGGAAAGCAAAAGGGGAAACCACCGGGGCCGTGGGATCAAGGGCTTCATCCCCACTTCTGTGACATTTTCGGGAATCTCACCTTGTATCACAGAAATGGATCCCGTTTCAACCGCCCTGGACACCGAGGCCATTTTGGTTGTCCCCCAAAAGCCACACCCAAAGGAGCTCCAGCGAGTCGAACCAAGAAAGCCCACAGCGAAAGCCACAGAAAAAAAGCGAGGCCGCCGCCCTTTTCAGTCGGGGCCCCCCGAAACGAGCCGCGCCCAAGGCGCCGAAAAAGTTTTCCGTCTTCGGCTCGCCAGGCACCCCCGAAGGTGCTGGTGCTGGGCGCCGGCCGCGGCGCCTTAGCAGCCAGGGACCCAATGGGACGGAGTTGCACGGCTGGGTGGAGACCGGAATGGCACATGCTTGGACGGATGCCGGAATGATAATGCTGGGGATCCTGTTTTTGCTTTGTTTATGTATGTTATATATACATATATATATATAGGTTTGCATGATGTTTGTTGGGGACCATGATGACGACATTCATGACTGACGCAAAGCTGCACCACATGAACAGTTAACTGCCTGCAAATTTAGCTCTTTCGCACATCTATCGGTTTCACAGGACACGTTGAATGTTTTGATCTGACCTTCCATGAGTTGCTTGGCCCTGCAGAAGCGCCCTTTGACGATTGGGATAAGAATCGGATGAGGTGGCCGTGAGAGGTGTGGACGTGTGTCATTTTTGTTGGATGCAGCAGGGATGATTGAGAACCGCTCTTTGACTTGAAGAAGTATTCAAACCTTTAGCTTTGGCCAGGCACACCTAAGGGGCTCATGGAGAGCGCTGCTTCGAGACTGGATTTCGGTTTCTTGCATTGGGACTCAGGCGAAGGGAAGCAAATATGGCTGAATTCTGGTCATGAAGTCAGTGTAGAGTTGGAAGGCATCAAATTCTGTGGTGTGCCATCAGGTCTACTACCTTGATCCGAGCGGGAAGGGGAACGAATGGGCTGGGCTCGAGTTTCTTGGATCCTTCCCTTTGGACACGTGCAGTTGCAACTTGCTTTCCCCCTTTCGACGCAACCGATGTCCAGACATGTCGGGTGCTGTCAAACAAACTTGTGCTGAAAGGGAAAACCGTTCAAGAGCTACCATGCTTGACCCACGCTCTATGCCACTTGGGTGCCTACATCAACAATGACTGATATGTATTTTGTTTCACTGCAAACAAATGCATTGACGGGACCCACAGGACAGCAGCATTGGGTAAGAATCGACCATCCTATGCAAGGCACATGATTCATACGATGGGCCATCATCCTTGAACGGCCAGACCGGTTTGAACAGATCCGTATTGCGCATTGCAGCCAGATGCAATTGCCATGATTTGACTTCGGAGCAAACTTTTAGCCTAACCCAATTAAACCTCACTCAAGACGAAACTCAGCGGTCAATCGCCGCTTTTGACATCACAACTTTTCTGAGCGGCACTGCTGCACAGCCAGGTTTCAGCGTATTTTATCTGAGGATATTCGAAGTTCCTCCAGCTACACACTTGAAACCTAAGAAAGGATCCCTTGACAGGGAACAGGCGACCACTTAGTTCGAGCATTTTACCCGGGTGTCTGCGTCTTCCAATCTGGGCAGGAGCAGCTGGGCCGGTGGGGCCTGCCGGTGGCTGCCGTAGATGGCGCCTTCTCATGAATTTGTGTCCCGCAACGGCGCGCTTCGGCTCTGCGGCTTGTTTGGTTTGCCTTCAAGACCAAGCAACCACGAGGCTTCCTCCAAAAGGCACGAAAGCATTCCAGCAAAGCAGTTCTTTGCAAGCTGCCGTGGCAGCGGCTTGGGGTTTTGGTTGGTTGTGTGGATGTGCTGCATGCATATCTAGTGTTGATCTTGCACACACACACACACAGTCTTAGCATTCAGGAATGCGGAGGAAGAGGATCTCTCCAACAACATCAGATTCTTGTTTTGCTGGGAGCACTCAACGAGCATCACATTGGGCTGTTGACCCTGTTCCATTTGAGCATCATCGAGTTCAAGCTTCTCACTTCAAAACAGGATTTGACAGACACGACCACTATGTACTTTATTGATCCTAGCCTTATTCCTGTCAATGTGTTTGCCGGTCGCTTCCCCAAACTCGTACTAGCGGCATGGCCAGGACACATGATTGTTTGGAGCTGACCGGATGACGACCAGCGATTTTTTTCTTCTTCAGTTTTGCTAGACAGTCATTGTTCGCATCTGTAGGTGGTACCTGGTGTAAACCATTGTAGACACCATGATGTTTTTGGTTCAGTCTCAAAACATCAAATCTTGGATCGAGCATGTGACCAACTCTTCACGGCGCGTGGGGGTCGACATACCTGTGCATATGTTCAAGACTATTTGTACAGCTGTGCGATCCCACACAAAAAAAAACCAGCTTTCCCCCCCTTTTGCGCCATGCGCGTTTAGTCGTTTTGCCGGGCCAGGCAACTGCCTGGTGCACTTCACCAGTGGCCACGGCCTTTGCGCGGACCTCATGGAAGACCTGGGCTTGGCCTGGCGCCGGAGCTGTGAGGCCTGCCTCCGCCATCTGACAATGGTGGAGCTCTCTTGGTGAAAGGGAAACCAGAAGCAAAACCCATTTTAGGGGAACCCCTGCCCCCCCCCATTTTCGACCCACTTGCTTCCAATTTTCGGTTTTTTGTTTTTGTCTTTCTGAGGTCTTTCGACTCAAAAATGAACCAATGCAATCAGGCCTCTTGTTGGGCAACCTAGGTAGGTGTCAAGGACTCGTATTTCAGGTCTTCCAGGACTCGTTCCAGAACCTCTGTTCTGTTTGTGTTTCATGTGGTTGTGCTTTTGAACCAGGCTGCTAGAGAAGGCTTTCGGCGTGTCCTGCTTGCTGGGTGACGCAGGGTGAGGGTGGCATGACTGCAAGCACACCATCATGTTTGAAGAACAGTTGTGACTTCCGCGCATCGGCAGGCTCCCAACGCGAAGAGCTTTTGCAGCTGGCTACATGGTCCACGAGTCGACTGGGCTGTGGCGGCTCAGCAAGACGGGGGGGGTGGGCGGGGCGCCAATGCAGTTGGACACGGCCAGTGCAGCTGGCTCGGATTTGGGACAATAGTGGCCTTGGATGTGTTGACTCATCCTGAAAGATGCATTGCCGCAAGCAGGGAAAAGTCGGATTGCCGAGAAATGCCTCCCCGGTTTCTTGGTTTGTGGAGGAAAGTGCTGCATCCTACCTGAGCGGAGGGCAAAACCTCCCAAGACCAGTTTAGTAAGGGGGCGCCAATATCGGACGGTCCGCGTAAGGCTTTTCCTTTTTGTGCGTAAGCTTGCTTCAGCACGCGCGTAAGCATGTTGCAAATATTGCGCGCGTAAGCTCGCGCGTAAGCACGAAGCCTGCCATTGACCAAATCCTGACTAGGGCCACAGCGAGGTATCTCCAGAGGCGTTAGACCCACCACCGGGAAAAACGATTTAGTTCGGACTTTTTTCGTGCTTGCTTCAAAAAACGCGCGTAGGGCCACAGCAAGCGATCTCCAACGCTGCAAGCAGAAAGGTGTTAGAGACACCACCGGGAAAAAACGATTTTGGCTTGGCGAACTAAGCGCGCGCTAACCAGGGCAACCCTTATCACAGCTGGCATTTTTGTCTGAAGCTGCCCAAGAGCCAACTGGCGTAAGGTCCGCGTAAGAGCTGCGTAAGCAACGCGTAAGGTTACGCCGTTGCAGCTTCGGCAATCCTGGTGGCCGTCCGTCCGTGGTAAACAGTTTGGAAGTGCGGAAGTCTGAGGGTGAGATTCTGGCGAGATACACAGCAGACTCAGAGCGCGTGGTGGTTGTTGGTCGAGGAGCAAGAGACGGTTGGTGTTGGCTCGACATTTGACCAGAATCCTGGGTCGGCTGTGGGCAGCACTGCCAGTACTTCGTGCTCTTGTCTTCCTGAAGTCTTTGCGGCAGATGGTGAGAAAACATTTCCCACATGTTCGGCGCCCTCGTCGGGAAACAGATGTATGCGAGCACTGCCGCCACTTAGAAAAGAAGTTGATGCCAGCTGCCAAGCGTGCAATTGCAAGGTGCCGTGGCCGCATCCTTGGCCTCGCCGCCGCTACTTCAGTTCTTTTCAATGCAATCATGCTGTTGAGACTGCTGATTACTTCAAGGGCTTCCTGGCCTACGTCAACCGTTCCAATGCCAATGCGTTCGCTGATCCATTGAGGGTTGGCCTGTCCAGGGCGGAGCCTGTCCTTGCGTGACGAATAAGCTCACACAGTCCACGCTCTGAGCCTTCATTTGGAGATCCTGGAGGCCTATCCGCCAAGCGGCAAGGCGATTTTTTGCAAGGGCTTCGCTCCTCACTGCCTGCTTGGTGCAGACGGACTTTAAGGAATGTGAAATATCGGCTTGGGTCCTCTGAATCGGCTGAAGAGTGGCATGCGCAGAAAAAGCTTTCACTCAGCGTGTTTGGGCACATGTGTTGGCGCCCCGCAAACACCCGGCCGAGTCTGCTTGCTGGCTTCAGAGGTGCTGGATCACGATGCGCAAGTCGCCACGATGCATATCAACACTGTGGTTTCCATCGTCAAACACCACCCTGCTGTGGATTGGTCCCAAGTCAAGCAGATGATTTTTGCTGCAGACTGTGGACCACACTTTTGGTCCAAGGAGAATTTGGCGCATTACCCCTGCAACCTCCCAAAGCTCCTGGACAGATGCTTTGGGCGGTGCAACCGGTGGATCCAAGAATATATCCAGACAAGCGCCATTCATGGCTTCGGATTTGCTTGCTGCGTTTTTGCAAGGATCCAAGCACATGACACAGGAGGACCCTAGTGGGCCTGACTTTGTCATCGAAAAGTTTGATCCTGGCCAGCACCGGCCCTCAAAGCGGTCTTTTCTGCTTTCTGATGACTTCAAAATCACCCGCACCTATGCTTTGACTGCGGCCTTGTCGCCTTACAATGCTTTTGGCGTTGCCATTCACAACAAGCTTTTTTCAGACATGCCAGGGCCCGGCAACCTTGTCCAGTTCACCATCGAAGAGACTATTTCAAAAGATCTGCAGGATTGGCGAAGGGCATGCTACGACAAACCTCGCACTTGGGAGCAGACGGGCCCAATGGCAGGCGATGTCAATGTGCTTGCAAGGAGGAGACTCGCCGACCAAAAGCAGCGCATCACAGACAGCGTGCCAAGTGGGAAGGTGAGCTTCCTTGCCCGCTGCTCAAGCAAAGCACTGTCATTGAACCGCAGCGAAGAAGCAAAGAGCTCGTGCTGCGCTCCGCGCTGAAGAGGGTTCCTCCAGCTCTGCCTCTTCCACGCCCTCATCCAGCTCTCCTTGATGAAGCGATGCAAGCGGTTGAAAAACGACCGATGCTGTCCTGGACTGTTCCAAGGCAAGAGTTGGCCAGCCACATTCCTTATGTTGTCCAAACTTGTTTTGCAAATCATCAATCAAGTGTTTTGTTCGCGCCTAGGCCAGCTGACCGAGGAGGCGATGTGGATTGCGATTGCGTGCGACCTGCAGGGTTTTGCGTGAGCTGTGAGCCATGCGTGGGGTTTGGTCATGAGTGACAAGCACAAGGGGTTGGATTAGAGAGTGAAAAGGGGAAACATGTCATGCATGCACCATGTTGCTTGACCATGCGCTGCCACAAATGCATGTTGTTGGCTTGCGCACATGCACGTTACCTGTTGGGCACGCAGAGTTTGGCTTCGGGGGGCCAAGCCAGCGGGCCCTGGTTTCGATCTCGGATCAGTTCACCTGATTTTTCTGCGAATGTTGAAATGGTGATGAAACACTAACAGACCAGAAGCAGACATGCGGCCAGCGAAGCGATTGCGCAGCAGTGGTGCTGGAAAAGAAGCAGGCGTTGCCTCTCGGCGACAGAAGATCCGACTGCGCCATTGCTGCCGCTGGGAGATAACCGCTAGAGCCACCAACGGGAAAAACGATCTAGTTCGGCGAACTAAATCTTTTTTGTGCTTGCTTCAGAAAACGCGCGTAGGGCCACAGCGAGGTATCTCCAACGCTTAAAAGAGCTGCACGGCAAGCAGAGAGGTGTTAAAGCCACCGCCGGGAAAAAACGATTTAGTTCGGGGGCGAACTAATTCGTTTTGTGCTTTTTGCCCAAGGCCGGTCAGTCTAAAGCAGCTTTCTCGTCAGCCACCAATTTATCAACAACCTCTACATCGTTTTGCTTCCGCGACCCTTGCTGGCGCATCAAGGCGTGGAGGTTCAACTCTCCCGCCCGCCGGGTGGCCTTTGTCTCACCCAGGGCCACAGCGATGTGTCTCCAAGGCTTAAAACAAACTGCGCGGCAATAGAGCCACCAACGGGAAAAACAATTCAGCTCGCGAACTGAATCTTTTTTTGCGCTTGCTTCAAAAGCTGACAACAAAGCCACAGCAAGTCACAGACGGCTGTTTTTTTTGGGGCGGGGGGGGGGCAGTGCAGCTGCAAGAAGCAAAGCTGGAGGTGCGGAAAAGACCGGGGCGCTCTCAGCCGAAAAGCAAGTCATCGGCAGCCTTTGCGTAAGCTGCGCGTAAGATGTGAGAATCCAAGTGCGCGGTGCGTAAGGTTTTTCAAGTGCGGCGTAAGCGACGCGTAAGCTGTCGCGTAAGCTGTTTGATACCGGCGAGAAACACACGGAGGGTTTTGCCCTCCGCTCACCTGGCAATGCCAGCCCCAGAACGACAGCAAAGGGACTTGTGGGCTCAAAATGGAAGGCGGAGCCAGGACCTCTTTTGAGATTGGAGCAAAAGGATGCCAGGGTCTGTTGCGCAACTCTGTTCCCTGCCTTCTGGGTTAGTTGCGCAGAACAAACGTCGGATCCCACAGTTCTGAAAAAGGCACCAAGGCACGGCAGCCTGTGACTGTAGTAACCTCGCACCCAGGTTTGTCGTGCCCGAAACACGTTTCTTCCTCCCAACTCCCTGCCTTAGGCACTGAACCTGGTGCGAGACATCCCACGCTTCTTGATGTCAAGGCGCGACCAATTGTTGGCCGTTGGCCGCCTATCAACCACAAAAGTGAGGAAGGTTTGGATTGTGCTTGAGAGGGATTGCATTTTTGTTGCGTGCTGCTATTTTGTTGCACCGACTCCTCAATTGCTAAGGTGCGCAACACAGGAGGGTCATGATCTTCTAGGATGCTCGCCAGTCCCTGCTAGCTTAGCGCATGCGACCCAACATGCGGCCATCGTTCACATTGAGAACGCCCTTAAGCTGCTTTCTTTCCTATTCCACTTCAACGCGGCGCGTGTTTTGAACAGGATGCCTCCTGGAATAAACCAACTGGGCATTGCGTTCAGGCTTCGGCGCCCTAAGGCTATCGGAGACAATGAGCCTAGAATATGTGTCCCAACGAAGGCTGTCCAGAATACACGGCCCTTTCGGCTTTAGCTGTGAGGTGCACAATGGTCCAACGCAGGCGATTGATTGTTCAAGCGCCAATCGCTCCCCATCGTCGTGGTAGTCGTAGTTGCAGTCGTGGCAGCATCAGCAGGAGCAGGAGCAGGAAAAGGAGCAGGCGCAGGAGCAGCAGCAGCAGTAGTAGTGGTAGCAGCAGGAGTATAGCGGTAGTGGTAGTGGTAGTGGTAGTGGTGGTGGTGGTGGTGGTGGTGGTGGTAGTGGTAGGTAGTGGTAGGTAGTGGTAGTGGTAGTGGTAGTGGTAGTGGTAGTTGTAGTGGTAGTGGTAGCAAGTAGTAGTAGTAGTAGTAGTAGTAGTAGTAGTAGTAGTAGTAGTAGTAGTAGTAGTAGTAGTAGTAGTAGTAGTAGTAGTAGTAGTAGTAGTAGTAGTAGTAGTAGTAGTAGTAGTAGTAGTAGTAGTAGTAGTAGTAGTAGTAGTAGTGTAGTAGTAGTAGTAGTAGTAGTAGTAGTAGTAGTAGTAGTAGTAGTAGTAGTAGTAGTAGTAGTAGTAGTAGTAGTAGTAGTAGTAGTAGTAGTAGTAGTAGTAGTAGTAGTAGTAGTAGTAGTAGTAGTAGTAGTAGTAGTAGTAGTAGTAGTAGTAGTAGTAGTAGTAGTAGTAGTAGTAGTAGTAGTAGTAGTAGTAGTAGTAGTAGTAGTAGTAGTAGTTGTAGTAGTAGTAGTAGTAGTAGTAGTAGTAGTAGTAGTAGTAGTAGTAGTAGTAGTAGTAGTAGTAGTAGTAGTAGTAGTAGTAGTAGTAGTAGTAGTAGTAGTAGTAGTAGTAGTAGTAGTAGTAGTAGTAGTAGTAGTAGTAGTAGTAGTAGTAGTAGTAGTAGTAGTAGTAGTAGTAGTAGTAGTAGTAGTAGTAGTAGTAGTAGTAGTAGTAGTAGTAGTAGTAGTAGTAGTAGTAGTAGTAGTAGTAGTAGTAGTAGTAGTAGTAGTAGTAGTAGTAGTAAGTAGTAGTAGTAGTAGTAGTAGTAGTAGTAGTAGTAGTAGTAGTGTAGTAGTAGTAGCAGTAGTAGAAGTTGTAGTAGCAGCAGCAGCAGAGTAGAGCCAGGTGCACAAGAAGCTGATTGAAAGCATGTGATGCATGAACAGCGCTCCTCTACTGTGCATGCTGTAGAAGTATGAGCCACACCTTGTCTATCAACCCAGCGTTTTTGAACCAAGCTTCTTATGAAGGTGCTGATTCCATCTTCGTCAAGAAGTGAGTTCCTGACCTGGGAGAAACACTTTGACGGATGATGGGTTGAAGTAGTCTGAATGCTGCATCCGTTAACCCACGATCAACACCCAGGTAATTGGAGGGGGAAAAAGGGACATTCCCACAAGTGGCAGACGCCCTTTACGATCTTTACATGGCTCGGTGTAGATCTCTTGAACACCCGGGAGAGGGGTATCCACCAGCTGACCTTATCTTCGACAAGTACTGTATCACAGGTTCTGATCCATACCGTGTTTTGATTGCGACTCCACAACTGACAGAAGGACCCAGCTGGATGAACCCGCAGGCTGGCGGCCGCGCTGCGGCACGGCCGCGGCATCATCCTGAGCTGGACGCCGAGGAGGACCGATCGAAAGGCTACATCACAATGGACTTAGCTACAGTGCCATTTTTGTTTGAACCCTGCGTTTTTTGTTTTTGTTTTTGTTTGAACCCATTTTGGGTTTGTTTTTTGCTTGAACCCATTTTTGTTTGAAGGACTGTTCTCCGGCTGCTTTCTGGGGGATCTCGACCAAATCAGGACTTGCCCATTCCTCTATCGCCCCAGGCCCTGCGAGGCCGCCAAGATGAGGCGGCTGCGGGAGCTGCTGCACCGCGCAGGCAAAGGCCGTTTTCGGCAAAGGCGTTTTTGCTCACTCAAAGGCGGCCTAGAAAGGTTTGGCAGTTCCATCTCCAGCCTCGGTTGGTTTGGATTCGTGGGAACTGGGGAACTGCTGGTCTTTTGGAGACGGCAAACGGGAGACCATGCCCTAAGCTCCAAGCCACCGATGCGGCTCCAAGCCAATTAGGGGGAAACTGATATTTTGTTATGGGGGTTGAGTCAGTCTTAGACTTTCTTGGAAGAGCTGGTTTTTGAACAGTCTGTGTTCCAAGTCGGTTTGTTGGCAAGCCTTCAGCCTTTAGACTTTTTGACTTAGGCTACCGGCCAGACAGGTCTGCCAGTCCGGGGCTTGGCTCGGAGCTGCGAGGGAAGTGGGCTGGACTCCTACGGTCAGCAAGTTTGTGGGATCAAGGAGTTTTTCCCCACTGCGACACAAGGGATTGTCCCCCATGTGGCAGGTTTGTCTTTGATGTTAGCCCTTTTGGGGGAAATCACAGTGGATTCCATTTCAACTGGTTTTTGCAGTGAGGTCGACAGCTGCGGATCTTCGGTGGCCTGCTGTGCTGCCCATGGAACGAGCACGCGCTGGTGCTAAGGCGAACCGCCCGTTGCGGCTTCTCCCGCACCATGGACACCAAAGGACCAGGGTGGAACATGTGGCGGTGACTTGTTGCACGCGCAAAAATATCACCACAGGAACATTTTTTGCCACAACCCTGAAGCAGGGGGTGCACTGAAGCACAGCGAAAAGGTTTGGATTCCGCCTCAGATTCCGCATTTGGAGACTCCGGTTTTTGGTTAAACTGGTTTCGTTGTTCAGGTTCCTCTTCATTGGTGGTTCGGATTGGTGGTTTGGATTGGGGTTTGAACCCCTCTAGAGGGTAAATGTTGGAATCCCTCCTGAAACCACAAAACCACCGATTCGGCTCCAAACCAGCAATTGGCTGGGCTGTTCAAAGGTAATCCTTACTCCTTACGCAAAATTTCCCGTTCATGGCTCTTCCCTGGGATGGAAAATCGGATTGGCCAGCTTCATTTTGAAGAGATCAGAGGGAAGCCAGGGGTACAGTTACCATCATTAAAAGAATGGTTGGGGTCATGCAACCACCATTGTTCACCTAAGGATTGTCATCATCCACATTTGGTCCTTGCCTTTCTTTTGATGGGGGCAAGGAACCCTAGGGGGGAACGAATGATAGACTTGCACGCCGCCAGAGGCGTCAGCGAGAGAGGTTTTGGGGCTGCGGGCTGCAGCCGAAGCAGCTTCCGCACAGCGCCGGCTGCGTATTTGGCCAGCACCTTTGCTGTGATCTCAGGGTGGGGCTGTTTGGCGATTTAGTTCGAGCTCCTTGTGCAAAAAAGGAGGAGGTGACAAGGATCGGGACCAGGGCACTCTTTTCCCGAAAGCATGGCGAAGGGTTCTTCCGCTGGGTTCACTTGAGTTGTTCTCATGAGAGTCATTACAAGGTGTCATTGCAAGGAATCAGCATCATGAAAGTCATTGCAAGGAGTCATTGCAAGGAATCATCATCATGAAAGTCATTGCAAGGAGTCATTGCAAGGAGTCATTGCAAGGAGTCATTGCAAGGAGTCATTGCAAGGAGTCATTGCAAGGAGTCATTGCAAGGAGTCATTGCAAAGTCGCAAGGAGTCATTGCAAGGAGTCATTGCAAGGAGTCAAGGAGTCATGCAAGGAGTCATTGCAAGGAGTCATTGCAAGGAGTCATTGCAAGGAGTCATTGCAAGGAGTCATTGCAAGGAGTCATTGCAAGGAGTCATTGCAAGGAGTCATTGCAAGGAGTCATTGCAAGGAGTCATTGGCAAGGATTGCAACTTGCACTTGACTCCTTGCACTTGCAACTTGCACTTGACTCCTTGCACTTGCAACTTGCACTTGACTCCATGCACTTGCAACTTGCACTTGACTCCATGCACTTGGCTCCTTGCACTTGGCTCCTTGCACTTGGCTCCTTGCACTTGCAACTTGCACTTAACTCCGTGCACTTGCGACTTGCACTTGACTCCATGCACTTGGCTCCTTGCAACTTGCAATGGCTCTCATGACTCCTTGCAATGACTCCTTGCAATGACTCCTTGCAATGACTCCTTGCAATGACTCCAATTGCCATGACTCCTTGCAATGACTCCTTGCAATGACTCCTTGCAATGACTAATGACTCCTTGAAACAAGCAAGGAGTCAAGTGCAAGTTGCAAAGTGCAAGGAGTCAAGTGCAATTGACTTGCGAGGAGTTAAAATCTCTTCTTAGGGCGGCGGGGTAGTGCGACGACACTACACGACGACCTCTGCGGGGATCGGCGTGGTCGAGGTGCAAAAACCCATGGTTTTTTTTGCGATTTCTAAAGTTCCCGCGCGACCCTCTGCGGGGATCGGCGTGGTCGAGGTGCAAAAACCCATGGTTTTTTTGCGATTTCTGCGTCTCGCGCGACCCTGCGGGGGGAATCGGCGTGGTCGAGGTGCAAAAACCCATGGTTTTTTGCGATTTCTAACCTGCTCGCGCGACCCTCTGCGGGGATCGGCGTGGTCGAGGTGCAAAAACCCATGGTTTTTTGCGATTTCTGCGGTGCTCGCGCAACCCTCTGCGGGGATCGGCGTGGTCGAGGTGCAAAAACCCATGGTTTTTTGCGATTTCTGCGGTGTGCTCCGCGCAACCCTCTGCGGGGATCGGCGTGGTCGAGGTGCAAAAACCCATGGTTTTTTTTTTGCGACTTTTTCGTTTTCGAGCTGGTCCTCGGGAGTTGTCTCGTGGTTCGCGCGCCTGCTCCCCGGAACCGGCGGGTCGCGGGTTCGATTCCTCCCTGGTCCGCGGGCGGGCGTGCCAAGATGCAAGCTTGCAGTTGCACAGAGCAACTTGCGCAGACCAACTTGCACCGACCAGTTTGCGCAGAGCGCCTTGCCTAGAGCAACTTGCGCAGAGCAACTTACGCAGAGCAACTTGCACAGAGCAACTTGCACAGAGCACCTTGCCTGGTGCTGTCTCGCGCTTGCTTCACGAATGCTTCGTGTAGGGAAAAAGAACGCATCCTGCAGCGTTGGGCCGACCTCGCTTGCGATGCTCTGCTTTCGGGCCAACCGTGGTCTAGTTTTTAAATTCGAGCTCCGGAAAACGTAGGGAAACAGGAGGAGGTGACCAGGATCGGGACCACATGGGAAACCAAACAGATGGCTGGCGACAAGCTTTGATTGCTCCGATAGGAACTATGGGTGCGTGGAAGGCGGAGTGTGGGCTCCTCGGCTGGCAGGAAGACCGGAACATGGATCTTTTGTGCCGGTTATTTTTTTTGTATTTGCCCAAGCTGCCTGGCTGTTGGGTCACATATAGATTCCAAAAGAAATCCTCGGCAGAAAAAAGCTGTATCCAAATAAGCCGGAACAAGTTACTTCCCAATAACTAATGTTGACCCCGGATTCGTCAACCCCAGTTTACCAATATGGTGGTGTTCCCCTGCAAAAGTGGTCTGAATCGCCACCAAACCCACGGACCCTCCCCCCTATGAATAAACTGGGGTTGATTCTGATTCATATGGGTTCGGGAGGTGAGTTCCATGGGATTGATTCATATTCCACGGGTTCCATGGGTTAATGCACCAGATTCCATGGGTGAGAGATGTAGCCCTTTCTGGAATGTAACCCATGAGTCATTTTTCCGGATCCGAGGCCCACTTCGGCTGCCGGGCCCGCTTCGGAGCTGTTGCCTGCTCCAGCGAATGGGACTACACCGAGTGCCCCTGGCAAGGCGCCGAGCCTGGGGTCAGGTGCGCGGGGTTCCTTGGGGCTTCCCTTTCAAACCACAACCAACACCAAAAGTCCCAATCCAGAAGGCGACACACCCTGGTGGCCTTGTTGGATCACTGAGCTCGCATGCGCCATGGTGTGCCATTTTCTAGGTTTCAGCTCCTGGCTTTGGGCTGGGTCCTGAGTTTTTTGCCTCGTGACATTGTCATGAAGAGCCTTGTATACACCTGCTGGAATGGTATTGACATTTGTAAAAGCTGGATGTGAGTGATGTGACAGCAGCTTGAAGTCTTGACTCTTTGACCCTCCAATAGGCGTGTCATAATCCCAAAGACTTCAAGGTCAAGTTCCCTCAACATTTACCGCTCTGATGTGGCTTTGCCCCAAGTGTGGAGGTGTTGGACCTCCCAGAACTGTGGGCCTTCTGCCACCCGTTGTTGGGTGGCCACGACGCAGGGCCTGCGCCTCTTCAGCGGCGGTTTTCCAGGCCGCAGCGTTCCGTGCCGGTGGCACGGGCACTGCAGCGCTCCGACCTGTCGCAGACGAACCGTGTGGAGGCGATTTGATGCTCTCATGCTTTCTCCCTCTGCTCTGATGACTTGATGCTCTACTCTGATGCTCTCTTTGCTCTGATCCTCTCTCTCTCTCTCTCTCTCTCTCTTTTTCTCTCTCTCTTCACATGTGCCACCGTCAAAACCAGCCAAGCTGCTGCGGTTGGTGGAGCTGGCCCTTAGTAGGGTATTGGACAATCATTGTACGAGTTCAAGACAAGGACTCTTGACCATGGCACATTCGGTAACAAAAGTGAACATGAACACGCAGGTGTATGTATGTGTACATGACTTGTATGCATGTGTACATATCTACGCATGCATAGACACACTTTATGCACCTACACACACAATATACATACATATATGTATACATGGTAGAGGTCTGGCACCCCCCCCCCCCTCCCGCGCCATGGTCATGGTAGCCTTAAATAGGGCCCCACCCCCTCCTCCCCCTGTAGGTCCGCTGGTTTTGCAGGTTATGGTCATCTTGCAAAAGGCCTCTCCCCCCCCCCCCCCTGTGGGCCCGCTGGTGGGTTCTGGTTAGGGCCAAGGCTTCGAGAGTCGTACCCCGGTCGGCGAGCGGCCGCCCCCCCCCCCCAAGTGGGGGGGGGATACCACTGGGGGGGGGGGTGGCCGCTCGCCGACCGGAATCATACATGTATATATATATATATATTTATTATATTTATATATATATATATGTATATATATATATATGCAACCCCTTGTGTGAGCCGCGTCATGTCCCCTTGGTTTATGATCTGGCCATGGCTGAAACATGGACAGCTCACCACCAACTGCAATTTGCAGGCTCGAGCAACCAGTGGTTCACATATGTGTGTGCAATAGACTTCAGCGTTGGGTCTCTGGCCGAAACAACACAACAAAGACTAACACATCGGTTGGATCACGTTTCCTGTGCGCAGATTCTGATTCCGCTGGCAAGCAGAGCAGCTGTCAGTATCAACACTGGCCGCAGCTGCCCCCTCCCACCCCCCGCGCAGGCGAGTGTCAACTCCAGCCGCTTCACGCGGCTGTTTGGGCTGCCCTTGTCGTGGCTCTACGATGCCATGGACCCCTTGACCACCACGGCAGGAGCTGGCGCAAGGCCATGTTTGCGTGAATGTTCAAAGGGGACCCTTTGGTGAACATCATTTGGGTGGGGATTCATGAGGTGATTCCCAATTGAGCAACGTTCTAAAACCCCTGCACTTGAAAGTAGTATTCGGGAGGAAATATCGTTTTCAAAATGTTGACTTTCCCCAGGTCGCGGAAGCGCCGCGCAAGGTTCGCGGAAGGGTTTCTCCTTTATGTACTCGCGGAAGCTTCGCGGAAGGGCTACGATTCAATCACGAAAGCAAGAAATTGTAGTTTTCCTTCACGCGCGGAAGCGAAAACGAACCAATCCCATTTCTCAATCCGCAGAAGCGACGCGGAAGTGATTCCCTCTTCAAACCTCTTGCGGAAGGAACCTTTCATGCGCAAGCTCCGCGGAAGCCTTCGCAGCAGACGACGGCGAGGGGCAGAAGTCATGATGGGTTAGAAACACTGCTCAATTGAAGATCAGGGCTATGGCAGTGGTTTTGGCCCCCCTCCCAGGACTTCCCTGAGGGGCGAGGCCACTTTTTGTTACACGTGGCCAAAGCAGCAAAGGCCGGGTCCTCCACGCCTTTGCCTGTCTCTTGGGCCAGGAATTCAACAGGCAAATCTTTTGCGGACTTGCCTGGCCTTTCCTCGCCTTCGGAGATGGAACAAAGCATTTCTCGAGGGTCTCTTGGCGAGCGGCCAGGAGTGGTCTGGGAAGGCAACAGGCCTTTGCGCGCTGTGCAGCTCCGCGCTTTGAAGATTATCCTAGGCAGCTGTGGGGTTCCTCTGTCGTGATTATTATTATTTTCCCTCTTGTTTTTTTTTTCCGTAGAATTTCTCCCTTCAGACCTCTTTGTTTCAGACCCGGACATGCTTTCTTTTTGCGTGGGGTCCAGCTATCTGATCCACGGAGACCCATGGCCCTCGCGCGGGTCACCCGTGGCCCGGCTGAAGCGCGCTCTCGCGCGCGCCGCGAAACGCTCTTGACCTTGGAGCGACTGAGTGGTGTAGAGATTTGGCTGTGGGTCGAAGCAATGGATCCCATTTTCGGGGTTTTCGGTAACCTATTTTAGTGGGGATTGGGATGTTCACTGGGGGAATTACGTTGGATTTGACCCATGGCCGTTTGGGTCAAGTGAGCGAGCCACACCTGCCAATCAAGACCGATTTAGGTGGGAAGGTTAGGGGATAGTCCTAACGATGGGTGCCTTCTGCTTTTTAATTCGTCACATGCTTCTGGGACCATTTTAATACCGATCGGTTCTGAATATGACTCAAGTGAAAGCGGCTAGTGGCATAGCTGGAGGCTTGGCCTCTGCCGCTTTGGGCTTCTTCCCCTCTCTGGAGGTCGCTGTGGCCAATTTCTGGGGTGGACATGGGATGGAAGGCAAAGGTCCGATATGGGCAAACCAACACATGGCTTACCGGTGCTGCTCTTCTGTGCGTTTTCGCCAAGTGCAGATGAAGTGCTTTCTGAGAAAGAATTGGACATCTTGTGGTTGCAGTCATTCAGAGCAACTTGAAGTTGTCATGTCTCATTTCTGAACAGTGAACGCAGTTCCAACAGCAGCATATGGTTCCTCCGAAACTTGCTGGCAAAGATATTCTGAAAGCGTGGGCCTTAGTCTTTTTGAGAGACAGAGGCGTTCTTTCCATGGCCAGTCGTTTTTAGCTTAGATGTGATTGCAATCAGCACAGCCAGCCCAAAGGTTTCTTCTACAAGAGGCTGGAAGGGGACGGAATTGCCTTGGGCCCTTGCATTTGAATCCACCGACATGTCGTGGCGTTTCAGGTGCAGCCAAAAACGACCATGGTGTCCTTTCCATGAAAGCAGCTTTTCGCAGTCGACTTCGGGTGTTCCTTTCAGCACCCCGGCTTTGTCTCACCTACGGTACGCACCCCGTGTACTTTTTCAGAGAGAAGGGAGGTGAAGGGAGCCGGAACCCGCCTCTCAGGCTGCGTGGAACAAGAGCACAGACGGGCGCCTGGGACGTGCAGCTGGACCCGGCGGATTCGGTAGGGCATGATCTCTATTGTGTTTGGGATCTCAAAACTTGCCGGTTCAACAAACAGGGAATGACCATCCAACTGATTTGGTTTCCTTTGCGGGAATCCAGGTTTCATTCACGCAAAACCCTGTGAAGGTCACCCTTCGCAGCAAGAAAAGCTCAGGGACCCTCCCATGTTTGAGTGTTTTCCCTCTTTCGCCATCGAACAGTTTTCTGGGGAGGTGTGGACGCCGGTCATCCGCGCCATCTTGATGGTTCTGCGGGATTTTTCCTTTTGTTGGTGAAAACCGTTAGCGCCATTCTCGGAACTTGTAGCTAGCTCCATGTAGTGTTTAGGTTTGTTTTGACAATCTGGCTTGGGCTTAATGCATGATCTTTTTGACAGCATGCTTCCCCATTGGGTCGACCCTTGCTGCAGAAAGTGCAAGAGCCTGTGGCCTTTCCTGTTGAATTCGCCAACTTTGCACTTTTCGTTGGCCGATTTCCACCGAGTCGCAACTTTTCTAGCCTATCAACTCAGTTTGTTTTTTGAGTTGGTACCCCATTTGGTTGGGCTTTAAAGGGCAACAGCGGAAGCCACATGTTTTTGAGGTCCCTTTATTTTGAGGTCCCTTCAAAACGATGCCCATGAAGCCAATGAAGATGGAACCGTTCGACGTTCCGGGAATCGGTCCTGGTTTGGATCATTTTTTTGTATTTTTTTGTTTAGAGGCACCTCCCTGTCAGGTTCCACGGAAAAAAGGTTGGAGATGTTGGAGTGTCCACCCATTTGTTTGAAGTCTAGGTCTTTCGAAGCGTTTGGCTTCACTGCCGCGGCGGCCGCTGGCGCCTTGAGTGGACCAGGATCCATTCGCACGCTGCTTGGGGCAAGCCATTTCGTTTCGCGTCGCGTTCAACCTGAAATCCGTTTGGTCGATCTCACGAACAAGTTAAAGAGGAACATACAGCTTTGGTTGGAGGCATCGCGAATTTGCTGGTTTGAAGCTGCAGCTAAGTGACACATGGGAGTTCATCGTTAGAGGAGATGGGCAAAGGGCATTCGTTGAGAGGCATGATCAACTGAGCCAGAATCAAAACCTGGGTAGATGAAGGTTAGTAAGAGGCAGTCCCAGCTGGAAATAGTTGCGGCCCAGGTTTTGATTGTGACTCAACTGTGTTTGTGTGTCAATATTGCAAGCTTGCGCATCTCGGCGGACCTGTTTTTTGGCATCAGCAATGCCGCGTGAGATACCACACATGTTTGCTTGGGCGGTGGCAATCCTGGCCTGCCTTGTGCCGGGTATATCATCATTAGCTTGTGCCGGGTGCATCATCATTAGCTGGGAGGATTCAGGCTTGCAGATGGAAGTTGACACCCGGATATTTTGTCCCACGCCCAAGTCAGCAGAAAAGGCATCTTCTAGAGTTGAGACTTGGCAGACGGATCGCCTTGTTTTGACGTGTTGACATTGCTGGATTCGCCGTCCAAGGCTACATCTACGATTAGCATGCCAGGCCTCGGCCTAGGCATCGCTCGCTGGACCACGGGACCCCCATGGAGGTTGGCGTCCAAGCAGAGCAGCCCATGGAGGATGGCGTCCGAGAGCAGTCGGACTCGGATCGAGGATCCGGCTGAGCAACATGTGGCGGCAAGACCATCGGGACCATGGGGACCACAAGCGTGCGCTAGGGATCATTGGCCGCTGAAGACTGGACTTGGACAGTTCGAAGATGTACAGCTTCTGCACTGTGAGGTCTTCGTTTGAGGCGGCAGCATCGCGGGCCATGTGCGTGGAAAAAAGTCGTTTTAAGTCCGCATGGTATGAACCTGTGCCAACAGCTTCTCGGTGAAGTCAAGGGAAAGCCTTGGCACATTGCACAGACTTGTTTGTGTGCACCAGTCTTTGGCTTAAGTACTGGATTGCTGGTGCTGGCTCCAGATGCTTCAACTTTCAAGTTGATGCCTCACAGCAAGATGCGGCTGGATGTTGCAAGTTCTAGACCGCTACCACTTGCACCTTGGAAGTCAGCCGACAGCTGGCAACAAAGAGGCCAGAGCATCGCCGGCCATGGGGGCTTAAAGACAGCAAGTCGTTTCTTAGAAGACAAGTAGACCCAACTCCGCTCTCTTTGGCTGCCGGCCTTTTCCTGGAAATAGGTCATAGCGTAGGAAAACCGGACAGTGGACTCTCGAGCCGCCGTCAGACCGCCGCTTACGCTCGTGCTCAGCGCCAGACTGGCCATGGCGGCCCGAGCCTCGAGGCCCTCCCGGGCGATGATGCTGCAGTCAGGCCCGGCCATCGTGGGCCGGCCAGTGGGTTTGGGCTCGGGGAGATTCCCCGAGTGCCACTTCGGAATTCTCGGTCTACGCTTGGGGTTCGCGAGTTGCAACACCCAAGGATGTGGCGGGAATGTGGAGGGAGGGAGGGGGTGGGGTGGGGTGGGGGGCTCAGGCTGCAAGCACCCAGTCTGGGCAAATCATGAACCCCTTTTCACGAAAGCTAGCTTTAGCTAGCTGAAGTTTCTCCTTGCGTAAGCAAGGTAAGGGGCTCATGCAACACCCTTGCAAGCACCCAGTCTGGGCAAATCATGAACCCCTTTTCACGAAAGCTAGCTTTAGCTAGCTGAAGTTTCTCCTTGCGTAAGCAAGGTAAGGGGCTCAAATGCCGAAAGATTGATTTTTTCAATTATTTGAGCCGAAAAGATTGAAAAACATCAATTATTTAGACCCCCCCCCCCCCTCCCACCCCCCTGGTCCATCCCCCCCCCCCCGGGCAGTGGCTCAGTGTTCAGCAGTCTCGGTTTGCCCGTTTTGGACTTGGTGCTACGAACTTTTACATGTTCCACCGATTCAGCTTGTTCATTTGAGACCTCAGTCTTCTCGGTAAACCACCTCGCAAGAATCTTTGCACACGCAGCATGCAGAACCCAGAGGTGCTTTCAGACAGCTTCTGACGCCTCTCGTTGTTTTCATTTTTCAAGGTTTGCCACGCCACCATGTGCGTTTGCGTGTCGCATCCTACGAATCTTGCCGGGCCTCTCGTTGTACACAAGCTACCTATGAATCCACTCTGTCACCGACCCATCTCATGCAACAACTGCTAGCTTTCGTTCACCCGCTCCTCAAGTTGCGGGTCGCAGCAACCGAATCCATGATGATTATTCTGTCTAGCGAATCCGTGATTTCACATGGATGCTACTTAGGAGCCAGCAAGCCTCGCTCGCAGTCTTGCGCAAGGCTTCTGGTCCATTCATGCCAGAAGCCATACACTTTGTGGAATTGGGCCAGTGAGCGCAGTTTGCCAGCGCAGGTGTGCCCGAAGACTATGTGGATGCCTTGCTGGATGACAACTATATGGCACAGCTGATAGCCCCTCGGCGAAAACATCTTAGGGCGATTTGAGAGCAACCGCGGATGAGTTCTCTCGTTCTACTGCAGTGTTGCAGGTATTAATATATTTTTATGGGAAAAGCCAAGACTGCCGTAAAGGATAAAAAAGCAAACTTCTTTATATTATGTAAATAGTAGATAAGTTATACTAACGATGATAATGTGCAAACAACAGTCTTTTGTGGCTGGATAATATAAAAATGAAGAGCATAATAAAGATAATGAATTAGTCCTAGACAAGAATGATGAGGGCTTGGGCTGATCAAGGCACCTCGGTTCCACTAAGGCCGCAACGGCCAAGCAGCACCGGAAGAGAGAAAAGCAGCGAGATCGACAAGCTCGTTTGCAGAAGGCCTGCGGAGAGAATCACAGCGCAGGTTGTCAGGGCAGGGCTTTGAAAGTCTGCAGGCTGGAATGACATTTGGCTGTGGCTCAAAAAACTGGTACTAAAATGGCTTGCCCAGTGGAAACATGGACCAAAACCTGCGGTTTGCCCCGATCGTTTAATTTTGAGCCACACTCATTTGGCATCGTAATATGCTGCGCATGATGGAGATGCCAACAAGCCAGGTCATCCTGGTTTTCCTCCTCTGCCAGGCGCAACTAGTAGTCACTAGATGATCCCCCTTTGGATTTCCCGAACAGAATGGGAGGGTTGACCTCCCCGCAAACGTTTTTCCATTTTTTCCCAAGTAAAACGGGGATCACGCTTCCAGGTTGGCTGCACACATTTTGCCGTAAACTCAATTTGTAGCAAGCTATCTTTGATCTACAAAATGAGGTGCCGCTAAATGCAAGCATTTTGTAGAGGCTACATGTCTCTTGATTTCTTTGCGGGCCATGTTGAGGGTTGTGCTTGGGGAGGTCATTTTGTAGAGAATCAGGTTTGGTAACTTTGGCACTTTCTAGAGCTTGGGCTTGGTTGAAGCTGCTTGGCTCCTTCAATCGCGACTTTCCTTCCGTGGACGATCGGACAGATGCTGGCTTCTCACGGATTTTGGATTTGTTTGTAGTTCCACAATACGTGAAACAAACGATGAGGGGTTTCCTACCATCGGATTCTTTGGATTTGTTTGGTGTCCGATGCAAAAGGGAACGGTCGGATAAAGAGCCACGCCTACAAACTGAGACTTGGGTTTCAGGGGTGGCCGTGACATAAATCCCCAGCGCAAGTGACAGCATGTTTGTAGGGACCACTTCACTTGGTCACAACGGACAAATACCCCGTTGATTCCGGGACCCATGTTGTAGATTCTAGATTATTTCTTCTCCACACTTTGTCATGTTGTATACGCTTTATCCAAAACCGACTTTTTTCACAATTGTTCCGGAGATGGTAGGTGAGTACGAAGCATCCGCACTGGAGATGTGTAGATGAGCAAGGGAGGCAGCCCATTGCATCGCTTGGCTGAGAGAGGATGACGGGGATGCTGGCTCTAGTGAGCCATTGGCTCAAAAAGCCGGTACCAAAATGGAACCCTGGCAAGTGGAAACAGGGACCAGCACCTGCGTAACCCGGACGATCGTTTAATTTTGAGACACACCCATTTGCTTTCTCATTGTCCGATTCTTTGGTTTCCTCGGGGCTGGTTCGTTCGCAGCCGCATGTTGCTTTGTGAGGCCGTGCTCGGCGTGGTGGCCAGAGGCTGAGTCCGGCTCAGCCAAGCCTTGAGACAAGTGCAAAGCTGGCTCACGAAGTCAAGTCTGGGCCTTTTCTGCGGGGTTTGGTCTTGTTGGGCTGGCAGCCACAGGCAATTCAAGTTGTTCTTGCTCTTTGTGACTGTGTGACTTTTTGATTAATTGCGTGGCTCACAGCGCGACATTCCACAAGCTGGCAAGAGGTGGCACTCTACAAGACCTTCCTTCAGCCGGACAAGGTCATTAGTGCCTTTGTGAACATGGAGAACATCGACATGGTGCCATGGCACGACAACTGAGCCTGCAGCTGTGCACCGAATGAGTATTTCATGAATAGCAGTTGGACCCATACATACTTCGGTGCTCGCGGGATTTGCAGCCGCATCGCTGCATTGCGTATGGTGCTTGGACCCAAGGTGTTGATGATGGACACCTCCAACCACATGAAAGAACGTAGAGAGCAGCAGCGGAATGCACCGCTTTGCACGCTTCAGTTTGGAGGGACGAGAGACTGATACCTTTTGGTCGGTCGGTCATCCCATGTGTTTTGACCAACCCCGATATAGCAGCTTGCAACTTTCCACCTAAGCCACTGAAAGGAATGATTCGCAGGAGATCGCTTGTTTGACGCGGCCTCGTGTCGCTCTGTTTGCATGTCAGGTTGTTCTGCACTTCTCCAAGGACATGCATGAGGCGAAACACCGTTTTGCTTCTCATTGGTCTTGCGGTCGAATCAGGACTAGAGTCGAGAAGGCGGTTTGCCTAGCGACAAGCAGTTTCCACTAGGAACGCAAAGGAGCTTGCCTTCGGTTTGAACCTCATTGTACCTGCAAAGTGCTAGAGTTTCCCACCAAACTGCTCACAAACCTCTTAAAGACTCATATCTCATTGCTGGCAGACATTTACCATTCTTGTTTTTTGCATGTCGAAGGTTTTTGGGAGGTGTGGGCTGTGAGGCCATGGCACGGCAACGGGACGACACGCTGGAAGCGAATGTGCAGCGAGTGGAGGAGCCATTCAGTGAGCACTCATGGGAAGTTCTCCAAATTGGTGAGGATGTTAGGGATGTGTTTCCTTGGAACATGGCCTCTTTGTTTCCTTGGAACATGTTAGGGATATGTTTCCTTGGAACATGTTAGGGATGTTAGGGATGTGTTTCGTTCTTTTTCTTTGGACCATGGCCTCTAGTACATTTTTCGCGGGGATGCTTGAGCTCCTAGGCCAAGGACGCCAAAGACCACCCATGGGCTTGAGGAGCTGAAGCACAACCAGACCACCAGGTTCAGCAGATTCCTCAGCTTCTTCTTCAACACCAACAAGCCGCAGGTGCGAATCGATCGGGTGCCGATCGAGATGGGTCGAGAAAATCGGAGACCCCAGCACTTTTCTCGTGAACACTGCGAGAAGCGAGTGGGAGAAAGCCAAAGTGATATCCTAGGAGCCAGGGATAAAACTGATACAAAACAAGTCCGAAGTCAGACATGTACCTGCCAATGGTCATTGGCCATGCCTAGTCCAACCAATCGCTGAGTAGCGTGTCGTGTCTTTGACCCTCGAGGGTTACGCCTGTGACATCCGCAAAGAGCAGGCTTTGCCACTCATGGCCGCAGAGGAAAAGAACCGATACCAACGGAGGGCATCAGGGTACAACGGTTGTCCACGGGGTTTTCATTTCGACCCTCAGGTGCCTCTTAGCTTTTGGCATGAGAGCTGCCCTACCGGATTATTGTGCTCATGGTCCATTTGAACGCAACCAACAATGTTGCCACACACCACCAGTTACAGGGAGACCATGAAAAACCGATACCCGGTACATAACCCGATGCTTCGGTATTGTTGCTATGGTTCGAGGCACTGCCAAGGGCCAACTTGGGATCTTCTCTGGCCAGGATCACACCGGCCTATCGGGTGGCAGGCGCGCCGCTTCGAAGTGTTGGGCCTTTGGGGAGGCCCGACCTTGCCGTTGAGGGCAGTGAGGCCGAGAGAATGATGTACTAGGGTATTAGGAGAAATAGCAGATTTCTT